GCTCACAAGAACTCGATCGCGTCTGAAGCTTTAATAGTAATTGGCGATGTTCACCTTTCTTTATTCGCTTTGACATCCTTACAAACTTTTTTGAAAAATACAAAGAACCGTTTTTTACTAAAGATCTTGCCTACAAAGCCAAGTTTTTTTTCAAATCTGACCGATTGACTTGATGAGTCTTTACAGTGTTGTTGTCACACATTAACTCGTTCGCGTCTAAAGCTTTTTTGGTCATTAGCGATGTTCACCTTGCTTTGTTCGCCTTGAGATCCTTATAAACTTTGTTGGAAATAAAAAGAATGTTTTTTTTACTGAAGATCTTGACCAGAAAGCCAAGTTTCTCAGAAAAATCTGACCGATTGACATGATGGTCTTTACAGTGTTGTTGTCCCACAATAACTCGTTCGCGTCTAAAGCTTTTTTGGTCATTGGTGATGTTTACCTGGCTTTATTCGCCATGATATCCTAATAAACTTTGTTGGAAGAAAAAAAATTGTTTTTTCCTGAAGATCTTTTATTTTTCTGCGTTTAACTTCTAATAAGTTGTACTGGATTGAAGACCAACTCGCCGACGTTTCTACTCGATTTTATACGTCGGCGAGTTGGTGTTGGCGAGTTGAAACGTCGGCGACTAGACCGTAATTCCAAGGGAGAAGGGGGGCAGTAAAGCAAGAAACGTACAGAGCAGTGTTGCCTTCAGCATCCTGTATATCACAATTTGCATTGTGTTTTAAGAGCAACTTGACAATCTTGGAATGGCCCCTATGAATGTTATGACAGAAAAAAAAGAAAAAAGAAAGGTTTTTTAGTCCATGAAGATTGTTACGTGATAAATTCTAGTTCACAAATGATGCAGAATTCATCTGAAATCATGTTTAAGAGGAGGAATTACTGACCGTGATGCAGCACGGTGCAGAGGGGTAGCAGCACTTGTTTTGTCCTGTGCATCAATGTGAGCCCCATTCTGAAGAAGCAATTCTGCAATCTGAGAGATTGAAAAACCACCTGTAAAAAATTATGTATCTTATCACACAACTGCAAACAGCCATACTAGGGGTGGACAAGCCTTAGCTTGGGATGAAAAAGTCACAGGGATGATATTTCTCCTGTCAAGGTATCAAGCTGGCTTGGATAGTAAGTGATTAATTTCACTACTGAAAACTTATGACCTGAAAGAACACAATCTTGTTGTGCAGCAAATGGATGCCTTAATATAATAGTTTTGAGGATCAAGATGACTGCAATGCATTACCTCATATCTCTTTCTTGATGCTGCATAATGCAGAGGTGTTTGTCCCCCATCATTTGTGGTGTTAACATCAGCTCCAAGGCTGATCAACATTGAAACAATAGCATCTTTTCCAGCTGATGCAGCAATCATCAGGGGAGTCCACTGCGCCTAATATGACGTCAAATTTATAAAAAAATTATTTGGAAAAAGAAGATTCTCTTTTGGCCCAAGCAGGATATGAACTATAAATAGTCTGCCTCGGAGGAAGTATGTAACCCAATTAGAGTGACTTGAGCCAGGTACAGGTAGTAGTTTTCAACAACAAAAAATCTTGTGTTTGAATTCCTGTATTAATCCCATTTAAACATCCCTGATTTTCAATTAAAAAAAATGCATCTTGCACTGCACAACACATGGGAATTTCTGGCGTTTTGCAAAATGTTGAGAATGAATCAGCCAAAAAGAGAACAGACACGAGAGAGGCTGAGCTGAAGAAATTGAAGTTAGGTTTTGCTTTTTCTCTTGCTTGCTATCCACCACACACAAGCAAACCCTACCTTTGTGTGCATACTTAGATTTCTATAACTTACATCATCTTTGTTATCAGTTGGTACTCCTAGATCAAGCAAATGTTTAACAACGTCAGCATGTCCACCAGATGCAGCCCAGTGAAGAGGCATGCGCTCATTCTGTAATGCAAAAAAAGTTAACAGATAAATGACATGGACTTAGCATTCGCCTACCATTACAACTACTAAACTGGATGTGAAAATGATGGTACCCAGGTGAGCTATCATTCTTAAAGACTTTTTACCAGTTAGGTTATGTTATACCCAACATTTGAGCAAGTTATTTCCCTTCCACTTGCGCAACATTGGCTGCAGCTGCACTGAGAGAGTTAATTGTATTGGTATACTTTTTAGAAACCTAGTTAAAATTTCCAAAAAGCTTAACTCAGTTAAGGGTTGGTTATGTTGAAACAACAGGGTTATATTTTATCAGCCACTGCACTGAAAAGACATCAGGGGGGAAACCAAAAAAGACAGACTTCACAGACCAAGTTCATATTTTCTCCCTTTTCCTTCTTTTTTTTTCTTTTGTTTCCTTCCTCTGCACTCACGACTTAAGCAATTCCCCTTCCTTCTGATGCATAATGCACAAATTTCCAAGGCAGTTTTTTTAAACATCATGCTGATTTTTGTAGATGTCAGAGTGTTCTCCATCACTGTGGAATGAATCATCCCAGGTTAGGGTTTATCGGAGAAATCAGCAACGGCTTGAGGAAAGCAGGAATCCTGCCATGCTTGGGTTTTAAAGAAAACACTCTTGAATCAACATTGAGTCCTTTCAACCCCTTTGCAGTATTTTTTCACAATTAATGGCAAAAAGAAACTCTGGTGCTTCCAAGCAGCAATACTGATAACTATTTGGCTGTGATACTTGGGTAATGTAACTGTTTAATTTAGTGTTATCAACTGAGTTAAAAACATAAATTGGCTACTGTAAAGAGTTAGAAGGCTGCTGTTTTGAGCATTACCCCTAATGTAACTGTTGTCCTCAGACACCATGTTCAGAAGCATTTTTTAGGTGCCATGAAGACCATCTCATACATAAAAAGTGATGACTGACACATATTGCGAAAAAGCCATTGCACAGCACTAATAAGAGACCACTTAGCTGGGTTAAATTATACAAAGAGGTAGTTTAACCACAATTTAAAATTAACCACACTTGGTTGAAAAAATCTATTGTTCTTCAATTAAGTTCCATGGTAGCCATTAACCCAGGTTCAGTTTGATCAAAAGCTAAAAAAAGCAGCCACATCATGAGTTCTCACTAACCCAGTCATTTCTAATTAAACAGTTAGAAATAACCTGGTTAACTCTCCTTGTGCAGCCTCGGCCATTGTAACTTAAAGATCCTTGTTGTTGTAAGATATAAAGGCATAAAATGGTCTAAAACTGTTGCATCACAAGTTATGGAGTGACAAAAAAGTTATTTCTTTCGCAGCATTGTGCAACTAGTGACAGCAGTATTATTTATGTTTGTGAATGTTACTAGTGTCATAGGGCTGTAGTATCCACATTTAACAAATAGAGAGGCCTTGACTGTGCTCTGTTCTGTTGTAAGGCACACAGGAAGTGGCTAGAGTTTGAAAAAAGTGTAGGGAGAAACACAAGACATAGACAAGAGTTTTTCCCACTTCTTGAGTGCTCTAGCTGCTTCCTAAGTGCTTTATAACAAAACAGAGCACAGTCAAGGCTTCTTTGTTTTACTATAAAGAACCAAAATTTGCAGGATGACACATGATTGATCCAAAATTATCTGCATAATGTGGAACTGGACATCTCAATGTGATTTGCTATTTTATAAGTGTGTGAAGTGTGTTTTACAAGACTTACTAATTAGATTTACATGATAAGTGAACACTCTTTTACCTAGAAGGATACCAATCATTCAAAGTAGATAGTCTTAGTTCATTGGAAATTATTATTAAATAATTAAAATAAAACATTAATAATAAAACATTATTTCCACTAAACAAGAATCAGTAAACTGTGGCACTGTTTTGTGGTCTTTCCTGTCCTTTGCTGACCTTTGCTTGACCTTAAATGTCTTTGTAGGTCAACATTTGCATAAGGACTTTGACCTTCAGTGTTATTTTTGTTGACCGCCTGGTTGTGATAGTGCATCAGATCATATTAAGAAAGACCAGAAAGTATGCAAAACCATTGAATGAAAGATCTGAAAGAATGTAGACCCAAACAACCCCAATGGCTGAAACAGTAAAAGACATTGGTGTTTTGGTGTCATTTTATGCTGCCTGAGTAAATGGTAATGTTAGCAATGAGGCAGTACACAAGGAAAAATTTTGTGCACCAGTTAGTAGTACACAAACTTTTTCCAAGGTTGTCGTAGACCTAAACGAATTCAAAAGCTATGTTATATCCTATAGTTGTAATACAGAAGGGGATTGGGCAAAACCTTAACATAAATATTGCCGGTATCAAAGAATAGTAAAGGTCGTGTAGACATCTATTCAATTTGTTCAGAAGACTCTTGGAGCTATGAGTGGCCACAAATTGAAAGGCAGCCAAATTAGCCAAGTTCATACCAGTGCTTGTGAGATAACTAATTAGCCATATATGAGTTCAAACTACAAAAACATTGTCAAAACTATGACTACTTACTTATTAAACAACAAACTATGATGACTATGATGCCAAGACGAACACCTCAGATGGTGAATTGAAAAAATTAAAAAATCTTAGTGAACAGAACTTTGAAGGTGAGGCAAACAACAGGCTATTGGATGAAGAGGATACTCAACGAAGCAACTTGAGTAGTAAATATGTAAGCTTAGCTCTTGTGTTATATATACTGATTCTTTAATTTGTTTTTACTATGTCTGATACTTGTAAAGTAAGATTTGATATTGTGATACCAAGCCCAAGTAAATGCTCTCAGAGCACCTGGTTTCAACAAGTGAGTTGTCTTTATTTGTCTCACAAAAAGCAATATGACAAGTGAAATGCAATTCAGTCCTGGATGAAAAATGTTAGATGCAATATAATTTTTAGTAATACATCCTATGGGTTGAAATCTTACAGTATCAGCTTAGTACACTTACTCCTTTTTAAGTGATGCATGATTGGTTAAAAAAATTATCCATGATGCATGATTTAATAGAAAAATTATGTGTGATGTGTGATTGGAACTTTCCCTTTGCCACCCTCTTTGAGGATTCTCCTCCCTGCTAATGTTATAATAACATAAATATTATATATTCACTTGTTCCAAAATTTCACTTTAAATTTACAAAGAAAAGCTTGAGAGAAGTTGACATAGTACAATTCAGCAGAAGGTGTGACAGCTTTATCTCAGCTCTATGCTTTGTACTCTAATAGAGCATGCTCTTTCAACCAATGACAGCATGCATTATATCCAAAATTCACTACAAATTAAGCTCAGGTTGTGTTCACCGGTTACCTAAATTAATATGTAATTGACAAAAAGCATGTCCCATTGAGCAACACACGACTTGATAACTAATCAGTCAATGCTCTTATTTACTGATTTAAAGGAAACCTACTGTCGTATTACAATATATGATACATTCTCGCCATACGTTTGCATATTGTAACGGGAGTTAAGAATACGATAAATCAAAGGCTTAGAAACTTGAAGGACGATTGAGGTCGTGATTACTGAGCACAATTAGACTGGATTAGAAAGGGGCCATGTGTATTTTCCGCTTCTTCCATGTGTTTTGCATGATGAAACTTAAACTACGAACTTCTCTTGCCAAGAACCCAATAAAAGTATGGTCTATCGCGAAGGAATGTAATATCATGAAACAACTATAGTTAGGGCTAAAAGGTTGCACGACAATTGATTATATTGTCGTGACAACAAACCTGAGTAACTAGTACCCACTGTTGAGGGGAATCATGATAAACAAGAGATGTTTTACTTGACCCACTTTGGAATTGAACCTCACCTCGTCTACCTTGGTCGCTAAACTCGGTTTCAATTCAATTTTTTCCTATAACTCGTTAAATTTTCCCTCGTACGCGAGTGAACAGATCTCTACACGAGACATTGTCGGCGTCTTTTTGAAACCATCCGTCTCGTTTTCAGATCGAGGACGACAACACTCTCAGGGGTGGGGTCACTGTGAACTTTGGAGACATATCACAGTTGGTCCTAGAAATAGTCTTGACGACCCTATTTAAGACTCTTTAGGATAGATCGGCTTGGTAAAAATGCTTAATCATTAAAAATACATGAACTTAATGAAATTTTTTTAGAAAGTAGGAATTCGTGAAAATATATGTGTATTATCTATGTATAAAATAATTATTTATGTATAAAATGTAAGAAAACAAAATTACATACATTACACGGGTAACGTGTAATGTCTGTAAACTAATCGAGTTTAGCGGTATGAGCGGAAGGCCGGAGCTTGCTATGATTTGCGAGGACTGATGCCTCTTGCACCGGAGGCAGTTAGTGTTTTTATAAGTTTTGTTTTAAGCCAAACTTGACGAAATGACAAGGACTGTTACGCGTAGGCCCCGGGGAAGAGTCATTAATATGTGGGAAGCTTTGCAGGGGGTAATCTTATTTCGATCGTCACTCGCGAGGCGTTGTATTATGTCCGCCATTTTGGTGGAATATTGTATGAAATTTAGAGTTTGAGACTGAACTCCAGCTACTCTACCTCACTTTACCAACACTATTTGAAACATCGAAATGTCCGTCAGACGCCAGTTAAAGAACGTGGTGAACAACTACTCGAACGCCGAAGTAAAAGTTCGCGAAGCTACTTCGAACGATCCTTGGGGACCATCAAGTTCTGTGATGACTGAGATTGCCGATGCCACTTACAACGTGGTTGCCTTTTCAGAGATAATGGGGATGATTTGGAAAAGACTCAACGATCATGGAAAAAACTGGAGGCACGTGTACAAGTCATTGGTTGTTTTGGATTACATTATTAAGACTGGCACTGAAAGAGTAGCTCAGCAATGCCGAGAGAACTTGTACGCAATTCAAACTTTAAAAGATTTTCAGTTCATCGATAAAGACGGTAAAGATCAGGGAATGAACGTACGTGAAAAGGCTAAACAGCTTGTTGCATTATTGAAAGACGAAGATCGGCTGAAGAGTGAGAGGGCTCGAGCATTGAAAGCAAAGGAGAGATTCGCACAAGCCAGTTCTGGCATCGGCAGCGATTCGGTGAAAGCCGGCAACTTACGAGACTCGGGAAGCACATCTGATCTGCGTCTTGGTGCCCCAGCAGCACCAGCACCAGCAACTGGTGCACCAACTAGCCGCTCGTGGGAACCTGCCAGGAAAGTCCTAGGCAGCGATATGGAAACCTGCCGTCCGTCGAATGCCAACGAGGAAGAATTACAGTTGCAATTAGCGTTGGCACTAAGCAAGCAAGAGGCAGAAGAGAAAGAAAAACTGAATGAGAGGGATGATCAACGGCTACAGATGGCCATTAGCCAAAGTCAACAAATTCCTTCACCTCAGGAACCATTGCCACTGGATGTTGGAAGCAATGGTGTTCAAGTTTCCCAGGATACGTTTGACCCTTGGGGTTCTACACCATCAGGGGTTGCAAGTTCCCCCATGTCACAACCGTCCATATCACAACCTTCCGTTCCACAACCTGATCCCTGGCTAGGTGGCACCAATTCAGTTGCCACTGCTCCTACCAATCCTTGGGGAGACAACAGTGCATCTTATCACTTGCCAATAAACTCATCACAGAATCTTTTTGGAGCTTCAAACAACACACCTGTTGTGGCAGCTATGGCTGGAGGAACAGATCCCTGGGGAGCAGCCCCTATACAAAGTAATTCAGCTACAGCACCTCCCCTGAGTGACCCATGGAGTGGAAGAGACATTTTTCCCGCAGAAGTGGCACCACAACCTCAAGGGCCATGGGAAACTTTGCAGCCTGAGGGTTTCGATGCTTTCAACCAGAGTGCTACTGGCAGTGGAATTTCAAGTCAGCCACCTTTGGTTCCATTTAACCTTGAAAATAAAGATGAAGTATTAATGAAGTCAACAGGTGGCCAGGAATTCCTGGATAACAGGGTTTCTAATTTGGTGAACTTAGATTTGCTAACGCAAAAACCTGACCCTGTTGCCAATCCTTTCTTGTCCAGCAAACCAGCATCATCCAGATCAACTAATCCATTTGTACAAGATAAGCCTCAAGCACCAACACTGAATCAGCTTCGTGAGCAGCCAGTTGTAGTACCAAACAGCATGCAGAGTATGAGTGGAGGAGTGTTACTACCCTCACCTCTAATTCCAGATTCTACCTCTAGACCCCAGCAAACAGTTCAAAGTAATCCCTTCCTGTGAGGAAGCAAGTGATCAACTTAGTCAAGAAGAAAGGTATGTTTAATTTGTTGTTTCAACAGAATTGCTTATTGCCTTGAACATATGATACTGCTAATCAGGTGATGGGGTTCCCTTCTGTGGAAATTATCTTTTAAAAGGTTTTTCCCCTGAAGTGCACTTGAGGTTAAGGGAGAAGGAAATGAAAAATAAGTAAAAAGTCATTTACACCCTGCTTACTATGCTAAGGTTTTGTTTTTGGTTACTCAAAGAAAACAGAGGTGGCAGAGCAAAAACTAGTCACAAAGTTTGAGTGTTCAAACCACCTGCTGAAATTCAATTGGTCAGTTATTTAAACTTTTGTCTAACAAAAATGTGTTCTAAGCCATCTTCAATTTAGCAGAACTTTGTCTGAACATTTATTTTCATGTACAGTGTTAAGTGGGCCAAAAGCTTATTGTGGAAGGACATTTATTTTATTATATCAACCCTCTTAAAGAGAATCCCTGAGGCCCACTACTTGGGTAAAGCTATGGTTTGGGTTAGACCTTGTGTCAATAACCAGCCCAATGAGTTTTCTAGAGCTTCCCCTTTGGATAGTTTGCTAACAACCAAATTGATCCACCCCAAATGGAAGGAACCTGTTACATATTGCATCTTGCTCCAAAATCAAGAGTCTCCCAGTAAGGACTGTGTTTACTTGTGTCTAAGTCGACCTTTTAAGACCAAAAACTCAGCCCAAAAAATCACCCATGACTTATACACAAGTCATACACAGAGACCTGGTCTAAAGCAATCCAAGAAATTAGCATAACAATTGCCTGAAGTCTGTAAAGGAAACCAAGTTTACAAAACCAGTTCTAATTGTGTTTGAGTTTCGTCAGTTTTCAGTGCATTCTTCATCAACAAAAAGCTTGAAATAATAAATTTTAAGAGGCTTAAACACAAAGCTACTGAAGCTGATGACTATTTTGTCTTCTAATCTGTAGAGCAGACATTTCACTTACAGCTTTGCTGGTGTTTGCGGTGCTGAATTGAATGATTTCAGTAGCTTAGTGACCTGGCAAATGGTGTTGTCTCACATAGTCTTGTTTTTTACCAGCAATCTTTCAAAGCTCCTCAGTGTTCCTTCGGTCCACTAAATCTCCTTTCAAACTTAACATTAAGTTTAGTTAAGCGCAAGATGATTTTATTTTCAATGTGATTTAAAAAATATGGTAAAATACTTCTCTGGTAAATGGAAGTGCTAGTGTATGCTTAACTGGTGGTGATATAAACAAGTGCTGATAAACTCTACAGCACATGGTTACATTTTGCTTTGCAGTTTTTTTTTTTTAATTCACTGTGTTTTCAATACATTCTCAGAAATAGGAGATTAACTTTTTGGGAAATTTCTATTGGTATTAATTTTACTTCTTTAACCATAAATGATGAAGAATATGATTTTTGACCTTGAAAATGAGGGGTGGACTTATACACGAGTTCGACTTGTACACAAGTAAATACAGTATGTACATTTTTGTTGATGCCAGTAAAGTAAGAAATGCCTAGGTAGCTACAGTATTTAATCTAGAAAGACCTCAAAAGAATTAAATATTAAATTTTTTATAAATACTTGTATTGAAAAAACAGAACATACTGGAAACAACCAGTGTCTTCCATTTCCATTTTCTTGACCATATACTTGACAAAATCTTTTAATCATCATGGCCAATGTTACTAATAGAACAACATGCTTCTCCTTTTCACAAGCTGTTGTGTGTGTTGTTGCAACATTTTTCACACTGATTTTGGTCAATTTAGTGTCCTTTGTGTCCTAATGGTCCTCAGCCACTAATAATTTTTATTTGCTGTTCTGTTCAAAAGTAGCACTGCCAATTCCAGCGAGCCCTCTGAAATGCTTAGAGAACTTGTTTCCAATTGTCTCACTAAAATTAAACAAATAGTTCACTGATTAAACTATAATTAGAGAATCATATGGTGGATGTAAAGAACTAATTATCAATACTTTCAAAATTGTTTCTACTACAACATTCATTAAGTATATTGAATCTATGCCCAAATGAATTTCTAGAGTAATTGCCAGTAGAGAAGGGTGCATCAGGTGTTGAACTTTGCCTCCCTTAGAAAAAACACAACACTTTTCAAAGACAAGAATAGTGTCTTCTACTGCAGCGGGTTTCACGAAGGAGTGTATACAAACATTGTTTGCATACAATATTTCCTATGTGTAGTTCATTGAAGATTATTCACAATTATCGACACTCTTGTTGATCTTTCCATTTGATTCTTTGTTTAATGAAAGATACAATGTAATTCTAAACTTTCATATTCTTGAGGTGTTAAAAAACAATGTCAAAGGTAAGCATTAAGCAACTGATACGTACTTGCTAAATCAACATTTCTGAACAATCTCCCAGCATTCCTCTTAAATACACTCCCAGACACATTTGTTGGTGTTCTCAATGTTTACCTGCAAGGTCACTTAGAAACAGTGGGGTAAACAACATTGGAAGGGGGAGAAGGGTGAAAGAACGTCATGGATGTTACTTTGGAAAAGTTCTCCAACCACAGTGGTTCTATCTGGGAGTGTAGATTGATTAGCAATAACTGTCCTAGCCAGCCATTATATTTTCCAACTCTGTTTTGTGTCTCCTATTTACTATTAAGTTCAGCTTGTGCTCTATACCGAGGCAGCTTCCTTTCCTTAACCCCCTACACCCTAAGATCAGCATGCATATTCTCCTTACTGAGATTAACAATCTAGATCCCTTTTGTTGGTGATTATTTCCTTTTTTCTTGTGACCTTAACTGTGTGTTCTTGTGTGGTATTGTAAGGAGAAATTTGATGCTTGTTACTCTTAAGGGTTAAACAGTTAAAACAATACTTTAGGGAAGATTTTAGTAGGTGGCTGCTCAACTTGTTAACAGCCTGAAACAATACCCTGTTGTAATGTGGATGAACTTTTTAAACAACTGGCAATATGAAATGGAATAGGCTCTGGACCTTCTTTAATTGCTCCAGCAAAGATACTTTTCCTGCTGCCTAACATTTCAATCATTAAATTGTGTATTTTGCTTGCACCAATCAGATTGCACTTTGGTATGTTGTTGGCATTGATAAGATTGCACCTGCTATCTTGCTGGCATTAATCAAATTACACCAGGTATATTGCTTTCACCAATTAGATGGAATTTAACTTTGTGTTTCACTGAAATTTTATATAAGATTCATCTTGTTCACAACGTTGTGCCTTAATTTAATTCTGGAAGCTACAAGACAAGTGTGTCCAAGATATGTCATGTCAACTCTAATGTGTCCTTTACATGTTCTGCCATATAAATTAGACTGCAACACTTGAGGATGCAGTATTGTGGGACAGGATTTATGCCTCTTTCTTAGACAAACTTGTAATCTTCCCTTTTTCTTTTTTGCAACATAATGACAAAATGATGTTTCAGTAGGAGTGTTCTTTGTCCAACTAGACCCTGTGAGCAGGGTAACTGGGATACCTGGATGGTACTGGATCCTTGGGATCAATTGTAGTGATACTAAGGGTGTTAGACTAATACTGTAAACGTCCATGTATAAGCCGCACTTTTTTTCACAAGATTGAAGCCAAAAATCCAGGGTGGGGTTTATCCATGGATACATCTGTGTTTGGAGTTCTCAAAAACCTAATTAATATTCATAAAACTTCTTAAGATGCTAAGAAATAAACATAAAAGAAACTGAGAACGTGTTGCTGTAGTTCATTGACTTTTTCATTGAGTGGTGGTTCCTAAATGAGCCGTTTGTGTCTCCGAGTGTTTATTGGCGAATCTTGCTCTCCAAGAGTTCTTTCTAGTGATTAATTTTTGCTTACTCAAACAACTAAACACCAACATACAAGGAATCTCTTGTTGTTTTTTACTACCTTCATGGCTAATTTGTTGACTGCATTATCAGACTGCATTAATTTGTAAAAAGATGCATTCGAGAAGACTTCGGTATGCCTTTTCTGATGTAGGTTCGAAGTAAATGTCTTACTTTCCTGGATCTCTGCAAAATATGTGTAATTCTTTTCTTTGGTATTCTGCTGGGCTCACAATCCTGAACACGAATACCATATGTACGAGGGCAACTAAAATAAACAAATTTGTCATATCGAGATCTACAGTTACAGACTGTATTTATTGAAAATGCTTCATCATTGCTATTATTAAGCTTATTATCATATACAATAACAGACAACTGAGCAGCTTTCTTAAATATGTTACATTCATCAAAGCTATTCACAGCAGCTTTTGCTGAAGACATCAACAACTTCATGTAGAAATCAGCCCACAAGACAAATGTGTAAACAATAGATAACATAACAAGATACACAAAAATCACAGGATTTTGGATCATGTATTTATTAAAAAAGAATATCCATACAACTACAATGAAAACTAATATAAGATTCACCTTTGTGATCGTGAAATTAATACCATTCATACTGTTATCGTAGCTACGTTCCTTGGCATCAAGTGAATCAAACATGGTGTCTTTCTTCACAAGCAGTTATCATCCATTAGAGTTTTGTTCTTCAATCTCACAGTAGTAGTGGTATGATTTTGCTTTTTTTTTTTAACAAGTGTACGTTTTTCAACTAAGACATCAGCATACAAGGCATACAAGGCTTTTATGGCTTTCAAGGCATACAAGGCTTTCATGGCTTTCAAGTGTTCGTGACTCAATCCGTTCCAAAAATACTGCCCAGTAACATCTTTTAGTGTGGATTGTCCGCGAATATGACTTGTGCATGCGTCTGTAAGTATTTTGAGTGTTTGCGCCATATAGCTCTAGGTAATCATAAACAAAGATATTGCACCTCCATCACCAAAGCAACAATCCCAGAACAAATACAGAATGGCCGACAAAAGAGTTTTATAAGCAAAAATCTTGTGTTCGTCATGTGACCCGGCCTTGTCCATGCATGACAACGTCAATCATCGTCAAGATAACATGCATGATCAGCATGTGAACACCTCCACCCCCATTGGATCACAGTTAGTTATCATGGTGTTGAGGGCCCAATGACCACTGGGTACTATTGTAAAATTTTCCCATTTTGTGGCAGAGGAAAAAAAAAAGAGACAACAAAAACAAAGGCGTTTTATGACTGGGCTACCACAGGTATCCCAGTAACGAGAGACTTTTAAAATTTTTGAAAAGAAGCGAGTAAATACTCCTTGTGTTATGCAGTGGAAAGTACTGATGAATTACTGTGTGATCAAATTTAGTCTTCAGTTTTCTTTCTTATTATTGTCTTTGTTTTTGGCTGATAGAATATACTGAAAAGTAAAACATTAACTGAATGTTGTTAATTTCATTTTATTTACTTATTCATTTATTTGCTTATTTATCTCTTTTCAGCCACTGCCTGAAGATTCTTGGGAAAGAATTCAGCTCAACTGGTCTTAGAACAAGTAATTATCATCAGCTTTCTTGTTTAAAAAGAAATATTCTGAAAAACTGGAGACTAAGAAAAGTAAAATATGCCTTATGGTGTTCTGTGGGTTTTTTTTTTTTTTTTTTTTTTTTTTAACATTTTAATTGTTATAAGTACATATAGGTTAGAGAGTAACTACAGCATCAAATCAAAAATAGAAAGTAATACCTTTATAAACTTCAAATTGTATCTAAATTTTTTTGTTTATGATATTTAGCTCTCTGTTACATGGACATTTAAACCAGAAATAATGAAATTGACCTGAATGGACGATCAATTTTTCAGTTGGCCATTTTGGATATACTAAAATTCAAACTTGACTCTGAAGCCTGGGGGAATAAAACAAAGTAAATGACATGGAGGTTTAGCGATGAATAATTTATTTCTTTTGTTTTATTCCCCCTAGCCTTAGAGTTTCATTATATCAAAAATGGCCTATTAGCTAGTTGATGGAAAGAACTTGCATGTAACAAAGGAGAGTGTTAATGGTCAAATTACCATTGATCAGGTGATAAATTGTTGTCGTGGAGACTGATTGAATTTTCATTACTCATGTCATCAGTTCCTTAGTAATAAAACATCAACAAATTAAAGAGCCTTTTTCTCCATTTTTCAACACATCAGTGGCATTAGAAGTGTACCTTAGTGCATAATTTTCTTTGAAATGATATGAAATTCAGACTTCAATTTTCTTTATATTGTTTCTTACCAATTCAAAGACTAATTTTCTTGTTTGTTTATTTAGTTGTTCCTCAGCAATTTGGGTCCCAGAGTGCCCATTGACAATTTTGATTTTGATTGTTGTTTTTCATCTGGAATTAATAGGTGAATTTTGAATTTTCCATTTTTCCCCTTGATTCTGTCATTTTGGAACCATACAAACAGATGTGTCCTTTGGAACAGCTTCTCTTAAGAATGCCTGAAACTTGGAAATCAGCAACTAGCAGTTATTTCATACTGACTGAGAACAATATTGGAAAAATATTGAGGAAAAATTGAAACAATTTTGTATTCAGTTCAAATTTCAGGAGGATGGAGGAGTAAAATGAAACCTGTTTCTAATCTCCTCTGAAATAGAACTGAACAACCAGTTTCATGTTTGCCCTGGTGCCCCAAAGCACAAAAATAAGGTTGAATTCCTTTTTGCACGGTATACATTTATAAAATCAACTGTAACTGTCTGCACACATGGACACACCCACATCTGCTTTGCCCTGAATATTTTCTATCTTTCCATGGATTTGTCCACCGCAGTAAAACGTTACACAGTTTAATTTGAGTGTTAACCTAATAGTTATGAAGTACAACAGAAGTGGTCTTTCCAAAGTACATAAATGCTAACCTAAACTTGATTCTGTGAATTTACAGCTTTGTAGCTAGTTGGGGAGGTTAATGGTATCCAGGAAAGGGTGTGTGATTGGCTGTGAGTTGTTCTTATCACAATGTGCCCTTGATAGGAAGATGCCTCCAGCTTGAACTTCCTTTCCACTGAAGTTGTAGTTAACTTGCACAGCTACAAGTAAATTTATGAGAAGTATATGACCCTAATTCCTATGCCACTGTTTTTTGTGGTTTGTGAACCTTTTTGCCCATAAGTTACACAAACAACTGGCCAGTTCATCTCTGCTACTGGTTTAAAATTCAAAGACTTAATAATCTATATTTATTGAGACGAAAATACATTTGCTCTGTCATCACTTTGCCATGTTGTAATGTAACAATAAAACTTGATGTCTGTCTAGAAATATGACTCTATTTGTAGTTGCAGGAAGCTTGGTGGGTGAAATGAGTCTTGCCACAACTTTATTGTTTTTTGCTCTACAAAAACCATCCTTTTTTGTCCACCGGTTTGGCTATCAGTTGTGTGTATATTTCAGTCCATTCATTTTGCTGTCTTCAAATTGTACTAGAGTGCTTTTATGTCTATCTGTTGGCCTTTCTTGTTATCTTACTGAAGTTTGATGACATTCTCATGTTTGTCTTGGTATTTCATTTGATGATGAAATTGCATTCCAATCCTCTTCACACAAAGTTAGGTGTTACCATTATGAGGGCCTACAGAATATACTTTTGCTGGTAAAACTGTAAACTTGTTCTTGTGTTTTTAACTTGTTCGAGTCCAATTCTTTTCACTATCAGACAGTTGGTAAACTCGAGGCTTTCCTTCTGGAAACACTGTAATCAAAGGCTGCGGATGAGTGAGAATATGAAGGAATGTGGCTCTGGTTGTAGATGCAAAGTAAGGAGGTTCACAATGAGGTGATGTTGACAGGTTCTGTAAGGAAGAAATACCTCAGACAAGAAACAAAGATAAAACAAAGAATTTACTTAGCAGGCTTGCCATTAGACCTCAGCTCAGCCAATGATGTGTTCATCATAAGTGAAAAAATGTTTAACAAAACACAAGCTGATTGAAAAAAACATGCTTTCTTTCACCAAGTTATGACAAAATCAAAATCTTAACTGTAACTGTGTCAGACTTCATTCTTGGTTACAAATAAAGGTGGCTTTGTTATATGCTCACCCTGTTAATATGGTTGGGTAAGGATACTTATGAAGGTAGTCTTGACTTACAACTGAGCCTTTTACCAATGAAGCTCACAAGGGTCAGTCTTCAAACTGGGTTGAAATTTTGTAGGTGTACCTGTGCCTATTATGGGAAGTTTATAATTGGGACTTTTAATTTTGTTCTCAATCATTTACACTTTCACAATTCAGGTTTAACTATAGGAAAGTGAAGAAGAAGAGCAAATGGATATTTTATTTACTTATTACCTGTAGTATGACTTTGTCATCTGCATTACAATAAAACTCCAAGTATTTAGCAGGCAATTTGTTCTTACTATCATAAGGTTCAATCTGCAGCTCTTTGTTACTTGAATTATATACTTCTACCATCTGTTAAAGGACAAAGGTGAATCTCTGATTATTATTTATTCCAAATAATAGTGGAAATTATTTAAAAATTTTATATCATCTCAACCAATCTTCTAAGGTGCCAAAAACATTACTTTTGCTATCACATATGATGCACTACCAAGGTTATCCTTTCCTTTTTTGTAGTTTTAAGAGATTCAAATAGCATTCAAATGAAGGTGGCTGTGGATGCAAAAACTGGCTGGGAACCTGTGTCCAGTCTTAAAGTTATGTTGAGCAGAAATAGTAAGATGTGAAACCTTTTAGGTATGAAACCTGATGTGATGCTAGGTTTACCATGTCATTCAACTGTAGAATACAAGCAACTCATTGAAAACAAATCTGTATTTCAAAAAGGATTACTTCTTCTCCCTATGTGATGGTGACCTTATCACCCAACTGTTGCCTGAAAAGTAATCCCGTACCTGTAACAGAAGGCATGCTGGGAGTCTGGATAACATGCTTGAAAGTCAAGCCAGAAAGAGGCAGAGGAGCTTCATTTCAGAAAATCTCAACAACTTCCTCAATGTAGCAAAATGTTAGGAGTAAAAAAGCATAATTATTTCAATTAAGTTGAACATTTAGATAGATTTAAGTGCTGATAAGCTGCTAAAAAGAAATTTTTGTCAAATAATTTATGGTGCAAGTTTGCATATGGTATATGTTATTGTTGTCCCTTTCAGAGAGTCTTCTAAGTGGCAAGCAGTAATTCATGGAATAAATTATTACTTTACCCTTTCATCACCCACAAATACACGAGCATGTTGTATGATTTCATCAGGACCCTTATTCTCAAATGTTGCTGGATAAATCTCACCATCTTGAATGCTGACACCTGTCACACAAAGAAGATGATCAAGGCAGTACATAATCCAAATCTACACATCAAGCTAATTTTGCCTTTTTCAAGGTGGGCAGTCATAGGTTGCATTCCCCTCTCTTGATTGCTAAGTATGTAAAGGTAGCAAATTTGTGAGACAGTGGTATTTGTGTTACCTATTCCAGAAATTATAGGCTTGTGTTGTCCACTTTCAACCACATTGTTGAATCCTGTTGACACATTATAACAATACAGTAAAGTCAGAGAATTAGAAAGGAATCATGTGCATGACACCAAGCATTGTAACAGTGAACATCTCATTCCTTCCCTTTATTTCCCCCTCCACTTCCTTCTCCTCTGTCTGCTTATTAATAATAATACCTCTCCTTGCTTCTCCTTTACCATTTCCTGTAGTAAGCTAGAAGGACTTTTCTGTTGTAATATGCACATCATTTCCCTATAGACTCAAAACTTTAAAATAAACATGTGTGCTTAAACAAAAGTTGTAATTTCCCCAACCAAAATGTCTACCGGTTAGTAACACAGTGCGTCTTACATCTTGACAATCTCCTTATTTCCTAACCTACCTGTACCCACAAGGAGAATTTGTTTCACAATCAAGTGCTTTTTTGGTTGGCAATCTTTTCCTGTAATGTTGTGACTGTTATGTGTGATTTGAGGGGTGGTATTGTACAGAGAAATGAGCTGCTAGTCATTATGTCAGGTCAGAGAGTTTTAACTCTTGTAGGAGTTTGAGAGGTTTCAAACACATACCTGTTACACATGCTGAACATAAATGAATGGGTTCGTCCTGTTTCTGTAAAGCTTCTAGAACATGATTTAACACATTAAGAATTTAGGATTCATTTTGTGGTAATTGTGAAGAAGAGCTCCCCAAAAAACCTGTCGGCCGACAGACGGCCGACAGTCGGCCGACAGTCGGCCGACAGACGGCCGACAGGTTTTGCCTGAAATATAGGCTACCTGTCGGCCGACAGTCGGCCGACAGTCGGCCGACTGTTGGTAATGTGTCGGTAACCTGTCGGTAGCTTGTCGGTAGCTTGTCCGTGAAACGTTAACACAAACCTTAATGTTTTCTCTCGGTTTTCGCTTGAAAACGACATCAAACATGTACGTTGACAATTGACTTTCAAGATTTGGTGGCTCCTAAAGGAGCCGTTTTTTGGGGAGCTCTTCTTCACAATTACCCATTTTGTAAGAGGAATTTGTTACATATCAAAGAAAAATTACCTAAAATCGATACTGTTAATCCACTAGAAAACCCCCTATCATCAAGAAATCCTCCAAATAAGTGAAGCTCATTCCTAAGGAAAATAAAAGAGAGACGTAATGGTGATTAAATAAGGGTTCTATAGGTCAGTTATACCATCATAACTTTAAAAAAAAAATGAATGATAAACAATAAAATAAAGAGAGGTTATTGGCCAGTTTAGCCCAACACTTAAAACAAAGGTTCAATTACCATAGATTTGCAGGTGAAATTATAGATATTAATAATTGTGGAACAATGTGATCTATCTTTACTTTCATTCGATTAGCAAAGTAAAACCTTCTTGGATGGATGTGGTTAAATCAATAGCATTACTTGCCTTCCATTTGCATCACATTTTGATCGGGAAAGGTTAGTGACAGATGCAATCATGCCTTTGATACCTTCCTCTGTACTTTGGCCATCAAAGTGTCCTAGACTTACCACACCTGATACTGATAGAAGTAATATTCATTATACAGGTACCTTAAGTATTGTATTAAAAAGAATGGTCTGCTTGGAAAACATTTGTCATGTCCTAATCTTGCCAATGTATCTAACCTGTTGTTTAACAACAGTATTCTTTGTGCTATAAACATTTTAAAAAAGACATAA